ACAGTCAGAAGTGTGGGCATTGACACTGAGCAAATAATTTGTAGCATTTATTGCTCTGGCCAGCAGAAAATAGGAGCCCCACTATGTCATTCCTCTGGTACATAGTTGCATTTTCCTGAAGGCATTCGAAGAAAGATGCTTTGTATTTTTTTTCCCCTTGAGTTGTCTTTAAAAAAAAAACCTTTCTCAGCAATACTGTGTGTAAGACAAAGAGTACAGACTCTCTGGTTACTATGGGAGCATGTGGGTAGTTGCAGGCTGGGTGGGAGGCTGGAAAAATTGATGTGCACAAAGATAAACTTCAGTATGAATGGCCACAGTTTGCAAATTCACCACGATTTGAAGATTTAACCTGGTTTGGGGCTCTGTAGGTATAATCCACAAGTCATAGCCTGTTGTGTGGGAAAAGAGGGCGAATGTGATTAGGGGAAGTAGGGAGGATTTTGTGTACTTATTTTGCTTTCAGTATTACTGAATTGATATTCACCACTGATGTAGCAGGCAGATCTACCCTTTCTGCTGCCTGAAGTGTGTCAGTAAGCTCCACAGCTACAAACGGCTGCCTGCCTATATTAGGGGTTGTGCTGCTTCTCTTACCCTGGTGGCTGTAGTCTGCCAAATCCCCAGTGCAGAAAATGCTGATTGCTGAACAATGAGTTTCAAGCCAGCTGAATGATGGTAGGAGGATTCTGTTATATTGGCTGTATTTATTTCTAAACAATTTTTTTAGGACTGTAGCAAAAGCCTTTGCATTCCCAAAGAATTTTTGCTAGCTTATCAGATGTGGTGTTTCCCAGGGATTGCCGGCATAGAGGAGTGGCTAAGTTGTTTGACTTGTTAGTCTGATCTGGGAAGGGAGGATCCTTTTTCAAGGCACCTGCAAGTGTTTGCTGTGTCACCCCAAGTCCTGACTTTGGTTCCTATGAAAAGTGACTTCACTAGGACAACCTGTGACAAAGAAAAGGAGCAAACACCACACAGTAATATAGATAACCCAGGCCTGTTGGCCTTGGGCCTTCTGTGGTTGATGCTCTATGTGTTTATGCAACTTTTTCTGATACCTCCATTTATATTTCTTCATTGTCAAGAAGAACAGCTCAGTTCTTGTTTTGCTACAGGTATTATGTGCACCAGATGGGCAATGGCTTATGGTTTTTATCTCATCTGAGGCTGGACCTTCAGCTTGTCATGTTAACTGCACTTGTAATTTCTTCCACAGCACCCGGTCTGTCAGTGCAGAGCTTTGCACTGTTGTCTGCTGAGATACCAGAGGTCTCAATCGCCTTTTATTTCCTGGAAGAGCCCCAGCCGATTATTAGCAGTGGCATTGATTTATGTATTTATTTTTCCCAGAAAGTGTGTAAAGAAAAAGCAAACATGTTTAACTTAGAAAATACCAAAAGTTTAATGTTTGTAAAAAGAGAAGTGCTTTAGCAGCATAACGAAAAGTGGAAGGTGTGCAGTTGAGCAGTGTGGGTTCAACTACCTTTCTATTATTAGAGCAGTTTTTAATGGGTAGCACATAGTCTGTTATAACTGTTTAAAAATGTCATTAACTGAAATAATGGTTTGAGCAGCTGTTAAATGTAGATGAGGCCTAGGATAAGCAGGAGTTTATCATTGGCAAGGCAGCAGCGAGGAAATGTTGTTTCTTGGAGGTGACCTGTGTGTTTTCCCTCACACCTCCCCAGCTCCTTGCGAGCTCTGATTATGTTGTGTAAAACTACTTCAGTGAAATAAGATGTGACATCACACTTAGGCAAAAGAACTGGAGAGTTAAAATGGAGAGGATAGCCTTTTATGGGCTTATGACTTTGTCTAGAGCCTAAGCTTTTCCACATTAGTTCTGTCAAGAGGAAGAGGAGGTGTTTTACAAAGACCTTTTCTTCCAGGTTGTTGGTTTGAACTGATTTTGGTTTTGTAATTTCAAGGGATAGCATCAGGCAGCCTCACTGAAATTCATTTTCCCCTTCAGTTGAAGACTTACTGAATTTCAATGTCTAGTGTCTGTGTCTCTGGTTCTGCATTTTCATAGAAGGTTAAACAGTAAAAGCAAAGTCAAGCTAAACAAAGTGTCATGTTTGAAGCTAGCTGTCCTTTCTAAGGCACCAGCAGGGGCTGTAACTATGCTTTAGATGGAAAGAACAAAGAGACAAACCCTAGTTTTGAGTGCAATAATTGGTGCATACGTAGGATAGCTGAGATTTGTTCCTGCAGATTTGTCTGTATGTGTAACTTCAGACAATTCTCTTTTTTTCCCCCCAGACTCCATAAAAACAGAAGGCCAGTTGGGATGGCAGTCAGACCAATTGGGTGAGTTTATTTATAAAACTGACTGACTTTGGATCTTAAATATTTGCAGATTTGTTAAATACAGAATTTTTTATTGGTGCCAACAGCCTGACTCCGTTGGTGTTTAAGTGGAGCTCTGGTATTCTAGTGCATTCTTTTACCTCTGCTTCTGTTGCGTTGCAAGCTGTGCTAGAGAAGACGTAGGAAATTCATTTTACCCAATCAGCAATTGTAACAATGGACTACAAACCTGCAGAGCAAGCCAGTTTGCTGGAAAACAGGAATTCCTGCAGCGCAGCACTTGTCACAGACTATCCAAAGAGGGCAAAGATTCAGGAAGGTGACTAAATTGAACAGTGGTTGAATGAGGTCAGGAACAGTCTCCCGGAGGAGAACCATGCCCTAAAATACTACTTTGAAAGTATAAGCCAATTTAATGTGCAGATTAAACCTTCTCATTTGACCAAACTTGTGTGCAATCCTGGATCTTTGCAGAACACAACCGGACACTTCAAAACTCTGTGTATTATATTTGTTTAAAAAAAAATAAATCACAACTTGTCTTGTTACAGCTGTTACTTTTGCCATTTCATTGAGACTATCTGCAACATAAATGTGTATTTGACTCAAAATAGTATCATACACTTGGTATAATAACTCAGGTTGTCAACAGAATTATTCTGTGAGGCTCAGTATCGCCTCCCTGTTGTTCTCTGAAAAATGCATTAACCATTGCTGTCATTGCCAGATAGCCCAGTTGTGCGCTACAAAATTCTTCATCAGCTTTAATAGTTGACCTAAGTTATAATTCTGTTTTTATCCTTGTAGAATACTTAAGATCCTGAACATCAGACTAGGTCTTTGTAGTCTGGTGTTCATGAAAATCATGTTCACTGGTTCACTGTTTAATCATTCTACATCTCCGTGTTTTGTTTTCTTTTCCTTTTTCCTTGCATACTAGGGGGTATGGTCAAGGTAATACTATGGTCCAGTAAGACGCATGATGGTAAGGGTATGCCTTTAGTTGTTTCAGGAAAAAACTGCCATTATCTCCTCTTTACCTTTCTCGTTAGTTTCAAAATGCATAACATGAAGTGTTTGTAAATTGATATCAAACTGTTTGTGACTTCACCTAAATAAATTTTTATATATAAATGCTGTTCTTAATCTTAGCCTCTTTTTTTCTCCCGTGTTCTTATATTGCCACTTCCCTTCTGTAATCACTTTTTTCCATCACCCGATCTTTTATGTAATTTCTGGGTTTTAGTTATTAAATCACAACCAAACCTTAACTTAACAAGAGAAAGCAAATCAGCCTTTGAGATTTGCTACCAATATCTTGCATGAAGGCTTCATAATGTAGTTGTTGTAACTTATCTGCCAGGCATTGACACAATGGTAGGTATCAAGCCTTGATCTGACTGAAAATTAAATAGCTGCTGTCCTGAAATACCAGTTTTTTGAAGGCCTCTAAACTGAAACTGATCCAGTGAATACTGAGATTCCTGCATTCAGTGCAGTTGAATATAGAGCACTTTTACAGATGGAATTATAAGTTACAAAATTATTTTTCATTTTTGAGAAGGGGCTTAAGCTGAATCATCAGATCACTTGTGCCATTTTTCCTTCGTCCTCTTTTAAGAAATGAGGACTTTGTTACTTGTTGGTCTGTGCTGCATTTGGTACCATCATTGCTGCATGAACTACGTGCCTGCTTATCACTGCAGGCATCTCCTCCTGAGGGAGTGCTGCTATAGTGGCAGGATTTGGGGAGAGGTGTGGGAAGAGGTGGATGTGGAGTGAGGAAGGGTGAGCAGATACTGGTCTCCTCTGTCCCCTCGATGTGGGTCTTAACCTACTGATTCAGAGCAGCAAAGCAGCAACAGTTTTGGGTTTTCATAGAATCAAGTAGGTTTGAAGAGACCTCAAAGATTGAGTCCAACCCTACCGTGGTTACTAGACCATGGCACTAAGTGCCACATCCAGTCTTGTCTTGAAAACCTCCAGGCTGTCCTGGTCGGAAGCAGCGTACACAGCTGGAGTCTGAAACACTTCCTAATGTTCTTTGCTGAGTCCTTCTGCCAAAGAGTTTGGGGTTTGTTTGTTACTCTTCAGCCTTCACACAGTCTGGTGTCCTTCCTGGAACTCTGTCACCTCCCAGTTTCCTGGTTGCTACTGGTGCTGGATTGGACCACCCTGTCTTCTGTGTCTGCTGCAGACAATTGCCAGAGCTCTGACTTGCTCTCCAGTGTCAGTGGCTGCTTTAAATTGCTGCCTGCTTTCAGAAAGAAACTTGCCTTTCACATTATTGGCAGTGCTGTTCTTACAACATGTGGTTAGTACGGAGTGCTTCCCCAAGTGGAGAAGCTGAGAACAAGACTTTGGTTCACCTGTCTCCCCACTGGTTCACAGCAACCGAAATGCTGAGTGGGAGATACCCAGTACCTTTTCTCTCTTCTTCATCTCTGCAGCCCACAGTCACTGAATGAGCAGTTTCTGCAGAGCCTGGAAGCAAAGAAACTCTTACTGTGTTTGAGTTTTTTTCTGGTGTTCCTGCAGCTTCAGTCTTGACACCTTGTTCTGTGAAGCTGCTGTGAGAGAGAATTGCTGGAACTGAGAAACAGGTGAGGAAAGCTGGCAGAGGTGTTTACTCACGAGTGTTAAGAAAAGTGCACTGAATGCTACTCAGCTTTCCTAGGTCTGGGAAATATTGGTTATACCTGGTTCATGTCTCACGGTGGAGGACCAGAGAAGGTAAACCTGCTTATTGCTCTAGCTTGTGTTGCTTAGCAGTGTGTCACAGCATTCTCTGTGTATTGAATGACATGGGCATGAGAAGATTTGACTCTGGGAGGAGGAGAAAATTACTTTGCAGCCTGGTAAGTTGGCCGACTCTGTGGCTTACCCTGGCAAGCCACAAGGAGGTAAAACATGTCTTAATTCTCCTTCAAAATGCAGAAGTGACTTTCTTGAGATGGTGGTATTGCCTTTAGCATGTGTGTCTGTTTGATGTAGAGTGTTTTATAAATAGTGATGCAAATGATGGGCCTGGTCAAGCAAGAATCTAAAAGCTTTGAAATGTTAGCTCTAGATAGCTTCATCTGTGAGTTTGTTCTGTTCAAACTACTGGCAATTAAATTAGCTGCTGTATTGGTCTTTTCATTCCTGTGAAGTTGCACCACAGGTTTACAGTGGCATTATTGATTAATTACTTTATGCACAGCAATCAAAGGTCCTGTTCTTCTGATTTGTCATCTGCCCCCACCACTGCCACCTGTGGGAGAAATGCTGTTGTGAAAAGGAGAGCAATTGAAGGCTGGAATTAGGAAGCTGCAGAGAATGCAACTTAAGTGATCCTCTGCTGTCTATTGCTGCACCCTTTGGAAACAGGCAGGACTAGAGTTAAGTCAGCAGTACCCAGGTGGGCCAGTGAAGAGAGGAGTGAGACCTTTGAGATATCTAAGGATGGGGGACTTGTCAATATTTAATGACTTTCACCCATCTTAAGGATTTGGGGGAAGTAGGAAACACACCCACCCCACACACTAGTACTTACCCAGGGCTCCAGAAAAGGGGTGAAATTTGGAACTGGCTTTAGATTCTCTGCTTTCCCTCCTTGCCTCTCTGTTGTGCCTGCTGCAGAGGCTTTGGCAGAAGGGTCCATTCACCACCCCTGTTCCCTGTGATGCCTGGGCAATTGTTCCTGCTGGGAGAGAGGTGGAGTGAACTGCAACTAAGGGCACAATACAGAAAATCAAGCCATGCTGTGCCAGGGCTGCACTGCGATTGCCTGAGCTTATCTTGCTCCAAGAGCTGATGGCAGAAACAGGAGTTTAGTTGATGTGTAGAAAAGCTGAGTTGTACAAACTTGTGGGTAAGCATTGGAAATCGTAACTACAGAGCTACAGGAGGCTGGAGAAAAGATTATCAACAGAAAAATATGGGAAATACTCTTTACTTAGAAGCATTATTCAAACAGTAAGGAAATAGCAAAGTCTGTCAGACTTTGCTGTGTGTCATGCTAAGGACAGTCAATATGAGGGATGAGTCAAAAATCATAGAGATGCATTGTACAGATGAAATTGTTGAGTGTGCCATATGAATATTTCTTCACTGTGTTATTTCCTATTGCAGTTTCTACTCCAGTCTTTGTCCTGAATTTATTTTTTTAAATTTATTTTGACTAGGAGTTCCCAGGGGTAGTCAGTGGTGATGCCCTGAGTACAAACTGTTTGGAGCCCTCCAAGATACACTAATGGTTTATCTTCCATGTGTGCTCCTTAGCTTTTATGTATGCTGGATTTTAGCTCCTGTTGTGCTCTGTAGTCCAATGGTTTTCCAAGGCCCTTGGCAATTTCTCTGTGTTTCCTTTAAAGATGAGTATTAAGCCTGCATAATTTCCAAATATCCCAGTATTCCTTTTCTTTTCTTCTGAAGGACAGTGCTTTCGACATTTCTAAATACCTCTGCTAGGGAGTGGGTAAGAGAAGCTCAACTTCTGTGTAGTCAAGTTCATTTTGTTCCTGCCTCTGAGACACCATGCTGTTCTTTACAGTACAAACTTCTATTCTTATGTTTCTAAACCAAAACGTAGCCACCTGACCTTGGATGCAGCATTATGACAAAAGAATATCTCAACCCATTTTGTGTAAAATGAAGCTGCTAGTAGTGCAACTATATAAAAATTATGCCAGTTTTTCTCAACAGATGGGCTCTTATGTTCAGCATCACACCTGTGTACATTTATTTATAAAAGTATTTCCAACCAAGTCTTTTCATTGTTGAAGATGCTGTTTTAACAAGTTGCAGCATCAGAAAAGTTGTTTGTTTCTTCTGGAAAACAGCAATTACTATAGAACAGAAAAGGTGCTGAAAACACATCTCAATTATTCTAAGATGTTTTGTTCCTTTTTACTCCATGAAAGGAAAATTGATTAATCTAGGAATTTGCACAGATGTTTCTCTCACTTTACTGCAAAGCCCTGGAAGTACATTCTAATTGTTTTGTTATGCAACTTGTTACTGCACAAAGGTGTGTGTGTGCTAACAAAGCAAATGAGCCTTGCCTTTTACATCAACGAAGATGGCCTGTAATACAAGTGAGATGTTTCAAAACATTATTAGATCAGAGATTTTAAATCATTCCTCTTTATTTTTTTCTTAGAGGATAATCAAATTGATGTGAACCAATTTCTGGGACTATGTAGCACTATCTTTAGTTTCTATTTTGGTGGTCTGGCTTGGAGGCAGGCTTTTTTTTGTTAACTTGGAGGTTTTCTGGCACAATGCAAAAATGTCTCTTTATTATTCCAAACATTTTGCAAAATCTCCTTTCAGAGTAGACTTTTCTTAATTAACCAATGCTTATGCAGTTATTTTTTACTTCTTAAAAAACTACAGCTGAAAGGAGCAATTAAAAAACTTGATTGCTGCTTTAAACTTGGAATGTAATCTGTATTTAACACAAGTAAGCTCTCATTTCAAGATTGTTTGATGCAGCATTTCCCCTGTCAATGTTAATGGTACTTTTGGGTGTGTGCGGACTGTGGGATCTAGTGCTTAGGGATTTAGAAATCACAGGCTCTCATGCAAGTGATTCCAGATGGGTGGATTTTTCTTTTGGACACTGTTCTGGCTCTTCCCAAGACATAACTTGTACCAACCAGCCCACGCCAGCAACATGATGCCTCTCAGAGGCGTTTGGTGTAGCTAGGCTGTATTGTGCCTCTGTGACGCTGCACTGAATATCTCTCATCCAGATCTGCAAGCAAAATAATGCTAAGCCTTACCAATACTGATACAAATACACCTGAAAAATCGCTGGAGGTGACTGTGGCAGTGGCATGGGATGGCCCCTGCAGTTTCACTGTCACTGTAGCAGCAGGGAGGGGCTCAGTGCAGAGACAGCTGAGCTGATCCTGGTGTTAGGTATCACATTGCTGTGGCAGCATCCCAGTGGTGTAGGTCTGGTGAGTCTAAGTTCCTATGCACTATAAAGTGTGCCTCAAGCAAGACAGAAATATGAAGGAGGTGAACTGCTGCTCATCTGTTGCCTTTGGACAAGGCAGATGTCCACCTCTGAGCTACAGAGCCAGGAGTTACTCACAAAGCAGCCTAAGGATAGGAGAGCGAGCACTGGATCCAAGTCACACCAGTCCCAGCCATGGCAGTG